AAGCCATCTAGCCGAGTTCGTTGCTTTCTCCACTATTTTCTAGTGGACTCGATTTGCTTCCTCATGGACCGTAGGCCATAAACCACTTGTGCCGCCCGACTCCGTCAATGGCGCTGTCGTCGGTGTCGTCGCCGGCCAGCCGGCGTTGCTATTTCCCCGCCTGATCTGTTCTGGATCGTTAGATCGTGATGCAACGACCTGCATTCATGGATACCGGTTCGGCCGGCCTTTTTGCAAACAAGCCCCTGAAGTTTTCTATGTGTTAACCCGCGGTTCAAAGGGTATTCCTAAAATATGTTTTTTTTTTTTAAAAACGTAGTTTCTTGGGTTAGATCCAAAATTCGTTTTCATCTATTTACAGTTTTGCTACTAATCTTTTTATAGTTATAAAATCTTCGTTTTAACTCCGATTTGATCCGTTTAAGTTACGTTAGGTTCGTAATTGAGTAATCTACATGTTCATACTACTGTTAAGGTTGTTTTCAACTTTTAAAATTCAAGGTTAGATTTAATCTATTATTTTATTAAAGGAAATCTTGTTTAATTCATAATTTTTTTGTTTTAGCTCGATTTTTGTGATCTTCGCGTCTGTGTGTTCATAGCAAGATGTAGATTTGTTTTACAAACTTTTCATCTTGATTTTATGCTATTGATGTACTGTTCTAATCTATAGTCATTGTTTGCTATGCATGATTGCTTCTGGATGCTTGTATGTTGCTGTGATTATCGAGTATAGACGGTGAGCAATTTGTGGGTGATCAAGAGTACTACTTTGACGAACAGGATCAGTAGAAACACTTTGTTCAAGGTAAGTATAGTATGGGATCATCCTTGTTTCCTATCTACTTTAATACATTTAATTCATATTGCATGTGTCACCTTGATAGGGATTTCCTAGAATTAAACTTATACCTTGTCTCCTATGGGATATGCATTGGGTAGCTTTGCTAGTGCTCAATTAAACCATGATCTTATACCTTGACTAATGGTATATGCAATAAATATTAAAACATGACTTTTTAGCAACTTGGAAACAAGGGGCTGGAGTGTTTAGCTACTTTCTAAATGCTTCAGATTCCTCTCTCTAAGGACTTATCTGTAAGCGAACATCCGAAACTTACAGTACAGCTATGAGGGCTACATGGCTCTAGCTTTAGCTCAGTATAAGAACCTTTTCTATCTTATTAGAGGTTAACTTTATGGCGTAAGAATGGTTTGCCTAATCGGGTATAGTGCGGCCTCTGTCCCGTTGTGTATAGGCTGCGCGTCATTGTGTCATCGAAAAGGGGGGCTCTACGTCTGTTTGTCGAGTGAATCTAATGGCCATAACTTGTTAGACGAATCTTTGAAAGGCTTCATAGTGAACCATGCCTGCTCACCTTGGAAGTGTTTTAGGAGTAATTAACCCATGCATACGGATATCATGACTCACAGTGAAAGTGTACAACCTCTGCAGAGTGTAAAACTGGCATATCAGCCGTTGAAAGCTCTAGTTTGGTTTTGGTTAATTGATAAAACCCTAAGTGCTAACCTAGTTTATCAAAATAATTATGAGATAGGTAGCACTACTCCAAGTGATGAAGCAATGGTGAAGATCATGATGATGGTGATGGCATGGTGATGATCAAATGCTTGAACTTGAAAAAGAAGAAAGAGAAAAACAAAAGGCTCAAGGCAAAGGTATAAATAGTAGGAGCCATTTTGTTTTAGTGATCGAGACACTTAGTGAGTGTGATCACATTTATGATCGATAGTCGTACTATTAAGAGGGGTGAAACTCATATCGGAATGCGGTTATCAAAGTGCCACTAGATGCTCTAACTCATTGGATATGCATTTAGGATCTAGTGGAGTGCTAACACCCTTGAAAATGTTTATGAAAATATGCTAACACATGTGCACAAGGTGATACACTTGGTGGTTGGCACATTTGAGCAAGGGTAAGAAACTTCACCTGTGGAGTGTCCGCCCATAGAGTGCGGACAGTCCGACGGTGCCACCGACGCTCTTTACAGAAAAGACGAATGTCACTGTAAGTGACCGGACGCTAGTCTCGGTTGGACCGGTGCGTCCGAACAGTGACAACAGTGAGCATGCAGTCTCGGTCCTTTGACCGGACGTTGGCGCTAAAAGTGACCGGACGCTGGCAGGGTGTGTCCGGTTAGTGCTGACGTACGCTGACGTGGGGTGCACAGAGGAGACGTTGAGTGACCGAACGCTGGGTGAGTCTGGTCAGGCATGACCGGACATGTCCGGCCATGAATATTCGCGTTTGGAACCTTACTGGAAACGACCGGACGTTGAGGTCCAGCGTCCAGTCACTTTCTAACTGACGCGTCCGATCACCAGTTAACCATTGAGATCGGGCGATCAGCGTTTGAAGCAGATGACATGTGGCAAGCATCGGGCGACCGGACGCTGGACTCCAGCGTCCGGTCAATATGACCGGAGCGTTCGGTCACCTCATGTTGTGCCCAGTAAAGGGGTACAACGGCTCTATTTTGTGGGGGCTTCTATTTAAGCCTCATGGCCGGCTCAAGCTCACTCGTTTGGCCATTTGCATTGACATAGCAACCTTGTGAGCTTAGCCAAAACCCTCCCACTCATCTCCATCATTGATCCATCATCATTGTGAGATTGGAAGAGAATACAAGTGCATTGCTTGAGTTATTGCATCTAGATGCACTTGGTATTCGTGTTTCGTTGTGGGTTTCACTTGTTGCTCTTGGTGGTTGCCACCGCCTAGATGGCTTGGTGTAGCGGAGGAGGATTGGCACGAGTTTGTGATTGTTTATGGCCATCTCCGGTGATTGTGAGAGGACTTGTACCTTCCCCGGCGGAGCGCCGAAAGGTAACTCTAGTGAATTGCTCGTGTCATTGAGTTACCTCACTTGTGGGTAGGTTCTTATGGTGTCCAATTGTGTGGACGAGGTTCGTGCAACACCTCTTAACCATCGAACCACCAAGTGTTGGTCGACACAATGGGGACGTAGCGTGTTGACAAACACGTGAACCTCGGGAGAAAATTGGTTGTCTCTTGTCCTTTGGTATTCTCCCGGTGATTGACTTAGTATTCATCTTGTAATTAGTTCACTCCTCTATATGATGATATAATCACCCTACTCACTCATTTATATTCTTGCAAACTAGTTGTAGTAAGCTCTTTAGTGTAATTAGAATTGAGAGCTTGCTTTGTTGTTTTAAGTTCATCTAGTGGAGCTCTTTAGTGTAGCAAGTGTGAGAGCTCTTAGTGAGTAGTAACATAGCGAATTGTGTGTTTAGTGATCATAGCAACTAGAATTATTGGATATGTGGCTTGCAACCCTTATAGAGCTAGAGCAAGTTTGCTTTTCGCTATTTGTTATACTAATCAAATTGCTCTAGTTGGTTTGTAGATTTTAAAATAGCCTATTCACCCTCCTCTAGCCATATTAGGACCTTTCAGCCGTGCTCATGGTCACGAGCGGCCTTGGACCTTTATGGAATAGATGATCACTAAGAATTATCCGTTTATGCTATTCAATATTCATGTTTACATTGATCATGTGGTTTACTTTGAGATTAAAACAACTTGTTGCTACTCTTATGCTAAAATTGTGATAACTAAAAGCTGAATGTTGTTAAACCTGTGTCAAGCCTTTTGAGCCTCATGAACCCCATGTTACACTTATTGAGTACGACGCGTACTTACGCTTGTTTATTTTCATTATTTGGATAAAAATCCCGGATGGGTAAAAGATGGCTATGATAATGCCGACTTTTATACGGATTACTAGACTTGTGATCAACCAGTTGATGTCCCTGTGATGTGGAGCTTCCACGAGAGATTTTTCTTTATACTTTCGCTATATTTATGTGAAGACTTTGTCTTATTATACGTGATGTAATAAACATTTGTGATGATACTATATATAATTTGTCGACTTATGTGTGTGACTGATATCTGGACGCACATAAGATTATGCATCTCATTTTATCCTTAAAATCAGGTGTGCCAGACATCGAAATGGTCAGTGGCAACAAAGATGACAACCACGTGTGGCACGAGTGATGATAAAAAAATCTTCAAGTGGAGCTCATTTTTTATTATTTATGAGTAAAATATTGAAATTGCTGGTGATGCGGATGTTTTTTTCCTTTTCAATATTTATTGAAGAGGTTGCAAAACCATATTTTTGAGATTAGTTTTTAGGTACCATTGGAGATGCTTCTAGGATACTGAGCTGTTGGAGGATATCTTTTTCACCCCACCAAAAAAATCAATGTTAGAAGTGACTTTTTCAAACCGTTAGGAATACTCTAAATTGATTAGCATAAGTGGTATACTTCACCAACTTCTTTTCATCTTCTTAGTAATCAATTTTTTTTTTGTTGCTATTCCATTCGTGGCGGTTTCAGCAAGTATAATCGAAGACTCGTTCTAAAGCTAATACGTAGCAAGTGCTCTTATAGCTTGCCATATTTTAGTGTCCCTTTCACCTTTATTTGCCTCACTATCTAAAAGTATGGACCAAAACTCATCTCACCTATATAAAATTGATATATCATATACTATAAAAGCAAAAGCTGATGTACTAATACTTGGAAAATGTCAAAACAATCACGACCAGTCTTACAAGGAGTCAAAAACAGTGTGAGCAACAGTTGTTTTCTTATCATCAGGGCAGTGAGCTGGCTTTGTTAAGCTGCACGGTGCACCCCACCCGCACCCCACCCCACCAGTCCACCACCCACTGCTCCAACCTGTAACCACTGCGCTACCTGCGGCGCGAAAACGCCAAAAGCCCACCCCGCGCCTATTCACACCGCAGGCCGCGAGCCCGCGGCGCGACTAGTTCGCTCCGACTCCCCACAGGCCCCTAGCCCGGCCAGCCAGCCCCCCACCGTCTCACGCGACCACGCGCGCCCAGGCCCCAGCCGCCCACGCTACAGCAGGCGCGCGCACGCCCATTCCTTCCCGCCCCGCCGCGCGCCGCCACCTCTACGGCTCTCCGGCGGCCATGCTGACCGGGCGCGAGAGCCTGGTCCGCCTCATCGGCCGGCGCCGCCGCTCCCCTCTCCCCGCCTCGCTCGCCGCCGTCCTATCCCCATCCTCCCCTTCCCCCTCCGCCTCCCTCGCTCAGGTTGAAGTCAAACCCCGCCGCCCCGAACCCCGCGGAACGCACCGCCGATTAACATCTCTTCGTTTTCGTCCAGGCCGACGATGGGGGCGGCTCGGGAGAAGCGGCTGGGGGTGAGGCTGGTTCGACGTCTGGAGGAAGCGGCGTTGTCGGCGTGGGCGCGGAGTGGGTGGTCTGCCCCGTCTGCGGCGACTCGATCCGAGGGTCGGACTACTGCGTCAACACTCACCTCGGTCCGTCCCCGAGCCCCACGCTTGTCCTGAATACCTGCGATGCTGAATGCTGCATTTACTGGGGGGCGGAGGCTGTAGAGCCACACTCCTAACACTTGGGCCGGTCGGGTTTGTCTCGAAGTGCTTGTAGCATCCGCTCAGCTCTGACTGAAAAATGTTGCTATACAAGCCCGTTTGGCGAATGTCAAATAAAAAGATTCGTTACGGTTTTTTTAACAAAATAAAAAGATTCACATCATATAAATGTTTGGCTGTTTGTGCAGCTGTTAACTAATCAGTGAGAACCAGCTAGCCAAAGGTGTATACCCAGTTAAGCCACTTTCCTTTGTTCTCTTGGCTGGTTCACTAGGCAAAAAGTTTGAGCAAAATTCGACGTTGTCGGCGTGGGCGCGGACTGGGTGGTCTGCCCCGTCTGCGGCGACTCGATCCGAGGTTTGGACCACTGCGTCAACACTCACCTCGGTCCGTCCCCTGAGCCCCACGCTTGTCCTGAATACCTGCAATGCTGAATGCTGCATTTACTGGGGGGGCTGATGCTGAAATTTGGCTTATGCTGATGCTTATGCTGAAATGTTGTGAGAGGAAAACACTGTTCCATGGCTGAAAAGTAGCTCTGAATAAGCTCAAGTGAACAGGGCGTGGATACTATTCGAAAGTTTGACTTTTTGTGTTGGTATTTACTCTGCAGATATGTGCCTTACAAGAGGAACCAAAAGGAAGTTAACACAGAGCACCCTTCTTAATTTCAGATTCAGTAAAAAGGTTTCCGCTGAGCCTACAGCAAACAATTTGAACAATGAGATCGAGACAGAAAATATGAAACAGATTGATGAAGATTTGTCGAGTGATCAAGCATTCTTCACATTCGATAGTGAGATTGGGAGTTCAAATGCTGGCGCTACTATTTCATCGCCTACCTGTCTGAATGGCTCACTTGGCATTTCTGAGACTATTACTTCTTACGCACCTTCAAAAATTGTCTTACCAAATGTAAAGGATGCTGAAAATGATGGCGCAGGGGAACTTCCAACGGTGGCAATCTCTTGCAGTTTTGATGAATGTGCAGTCATGGATTCTAGCACTGTTGTAGCAGTTGACACTGTCATAGTTGGTCGGAGGTTCCATGAGAACATTGAATTAAGAGAAGATGCAGTCATTACCTTTCTGAGAGATCCTCAGAATGCTAAGGACCCTGATGCTATAAAGGTTTCCATCTTTTCCAACTTAAAAAAAATATTAATACCCTCCATGTAGCGGGTTTTTTCTTAATACAAGTGGTAGGTGCTTTATGCAGGGTCTGAATGTGAGCAGACGCTTGGATACTTGCCTCGAGATCTCGCTAAAGTTTTGGCTCCTCTAGTGGACAAGCATTATGTTGAATGCGAGGTGAAATTCTCTTATTTTGCTAGAATGGTGTAGGATAGCTTGCTCTCACCAGTTTGTATTGCTGATTAGATATGTACATGTAACTTTTATGCATAATGCACTGCACTATGGTGACAGAAATACATCTTGTTTCAAAATTCCTTTTAGTTTGTTTGAGAAAAAAAATCCTTTTAGTTCAAAAGTAAACATCTATTAGCTATCAATTAACCAGTCTTGGTTTGCCTAGTAGTTTCTCTGTAAAATATCACCCCAAGTGATCTGAATAGATGCTCGTTGATGCTACCAAACAAAGTTAATCATCTTTCAAATCCTTTGTGAAGTGTAAGTGCTGCATTCAAAGACTAAAAACCTGTAAACTATGGTAATATTACTTTAGAGTTAATATATATTTATGCTCGCTAATTTCTGCTAGATCTCCTCTGGCCCAACAGTTGTAAAAGATGAAGAGATATAGGGAAGCTTGATTATATTAATGATTATGGTAGGTGATGGTGTTTGATGAATATAATTTCTGTATGCTTATTTGGTTAAGTGGTATATTTGACAGCGAGTCCCTTGTAGCGGGCATGCCCATTAGTGAATCTATCTTGTTGCAATGTTTTAGATATTTGTCAAAAGATCATGTAAGTAGCACACATAATGTTAAGTAGTTGGAACAGTTCAGTTTCAGGTTCTTCCTAGATGTCAAGAAACAAAATGGACAAGCAATCAATCTAGCACGTTCATCATGTGCTGACAGTAACACGTTGGTTTTTTGGATCTCAACATCAAAGATGAATTTGAGACTGGATTTTTGCAGTTTAAATATTTACCTTTGTGTGTACTACATTTACGATTTTGTAATGATTGTTAAAACAACGCAACATGTTGAGTTAACTATATTTTGGCTAAAGGGGACGCCCGAACCCCAGGATACCAATGAATTATTGTTGTTCAATCCAGAGGGCACACTGCCCTGTTCACAGTTAACAGACCAACCAAAGCTTTTCAAATCAACTTTGCTGATGACATTAATCATTCAGCTTGGTATAGGAAGGCTGTAATATTTCTGCTCCAAGTTTGCATAGGTCTTTGACTATCCATTTCTTTTCTGCAGATATACTTTTGTTACAGTATTATTATGTAAATAACCATTCAGCTTCTGACGCACACTTTATTTTTCTTATTAGGGATTTGTAGTTGGTTTGCATGAACAGCAGTTTGGCAATGTTCCCATCCAGATTACTATCCAGAAATGTAAATCTGACAATCAGATAAATGATGATCCAAATTATTGCCAATCCTTGTGGGGAAATTTTGTTACCACTGTTAAAAGTGAAAATTTCCGGAGACCTCGCAGTGCAAGATATCAGACAAATTTCAATTTGATGATGGCTGATGTTATGGCTAACCATGCACATGTCTTTAGTGATATAGAAAAATCATTTTTAGGTTGTCTATTTTTCCCCTTTCCCACTTTCATCTTTAATTTCCCATTAAACATGTCTTAGTTGATTAGTATATATTATTTCATTCAACAGCTTCTTTTAAGTCGTTATCAGATGATGGGCAACGGCTTTTTGTCAGGATCTACACCCGAAAAGGTAAGCTTTCCTGCAAACCATGATAGGTAAACTGTTCATTGGGGTTCGTTTCTGCTCCTGCATGTGATAAGTAGATGCTCAGGAACTGTTAAGTGTAGGGGATGCACAACATACAGTTCGCAGACCTTTCTATCCTGCATATTTACCAAAGACCTTCCTCCACTTAAATTGCCCATATTTGCTTCTGGACATTTTTTTTTGAACACTCCCATTCTATGCTGATTCAAGTGATAAGGTTGCCACCGTTGATCCATAAGATTCAAAGATTTCATATTCGAGATGCCACAATTTATATGCTGGGCATTGCAAGATGTCTTGGCTTTTTTACAAACTTTTGACAGCAGTGATCTATAATCAAGCTTAGGGCATGTGTAACTTCAATAACTTTTTTTTTCCTCGAATACGAAGGAGAGCTTCGTATCTTTGTATTATAGAGAGAAAGAACCGGCCCCTTACAATCACCACCACCTCACTCCGAGCCGAGCCATGAGGGGTTGAATTTTACATGAACAGGACTTACTCTAAAGAAACACGGGAGAGATGAGACCTGACCTAGAAAGAGCGAGGAAGCAAACTAAGACAGCCCCAGCTCGTCTCCCTGACCTTGACCCAGCGCTCTCAGACTTCGAGCTCCAGCAAGACACCAGAGGTGTTGCTCTTCTCTGAACATCCGGAGGAGGTCGTTGATGCACGGCCGTGCGCCGTCAAAAAAACATGAATTACTGTGTTTCCAGATTACCCAGGCACCCAAAATGATAATCGAGTTCAAACCTTTTCTTGTATCTTTCTGAATCTTTTTCACTGCTTTTCTCCACCAATCTGCAAAAGACAATTCATGACGACCTGAAACCCGATCTTGTAAGCCCAAAGGTGCAAGAACCCGGAACCAGAAATCCCGGGAGAACACACATGTGGTGAGCAGATGTTGAATGTCTTCTTCCTCCTGGTCACATAGTGGACACTTGGGTGGATGTGGAAGGCCTTGCCTCGCAAGTCTGTCCGCTGTCCAGCACCGGTTCCGGATGGCGAGCCAAAGAAAAACTTTGCATTTTGAAGTAGCCCAGGATTTCCATAGCCGACGCCAATGCTCAAAAGGGATTGCTCCATTGAAGAAAGCACGATAAGCAGATTTGGAGGAGAAATTACCTGAGCCATCCAGTTTCCATATATGCACATCTTCCTCCTGGGACAGATGTATATCCAGTAACATATCCCACAGCTGAAAATACTCGAAAAGCCCTATTAGTGATAGTCCTCCTTGGATATCTGCAGGCCAGGATGGGTCATGCAGGGCCTGTGCTACTGTGTGTTGTTTACGGGTTTTTGAAGGCACGTTAGCAACCACCAGAGGCGCTACATCTGCTACAGAGCAGCCTATGAGCCATCTATCTGACAAAAAAGCGTGTTATTACCATTGCAGCATATCATATCAAGAGATATCAGATCAAAAAAGCGTGTAACTTCAATAACTTGACTAAAGTTACTAAAATGGAGCCTCTTACTGAAGAAATATTTTTGAAACAAGGCTTACTGAACAAATAACATTGCACTTGTCTAACTTAGTGTCTTGCAGGGCCATGGTTCCGGAAGAGCAGCATCTCATATCAAGAGATATCAGATCTGGAACATGCAGTCATGGAGTTGAAGTGTAATAACCTGGCACCTAAATTTTTCTAATTGCTGTTCTTCCATCTTATAGCTGGTTGGATTGAAACTTTTCTTATACAGTGGCAGGTTATATCGACATGCTTTCTTGCACCGTTGATCCTTCTGAATATGATATGAAGGAGATTCTTGATGTGTTAAGTGTTCCTGAAATGAAGGAAATTCTCAAGGAGCTTCCTAAGGTTTTCATTCTTGCCTTCAATACCCTTTCTCATCTCTCACAAGTATGCCATCTGCCTTTTGAGTAAATAGTCATATCTAGGATTTCTGAAGTGGCATTGATAAGCTTATTACTTTGACCAGTCGATATATTATTTGTCTAAGATTCAGCAATTGCCCAAGAATTGATCCCTTGACATTAAGAATCACTATTTGCTCATAAGTTTTCACTTTGGAAGCTATACACTACTTTAGAATTTTGTAGTGGCATTATTGTTTAATACTCACATGATAAGCAATCAGTCTCAATTTTAAGGAAGAAATCCATTTTTGGCCATCCAACTATTGCCTTGTTTTTGGCCATGCAACTCTAAAACCAGGAATCTTTGACCACTGAGGTATCAATACCGGACAAATTTGGCCATATATCTAGTTTCAAAGGTGGTTTTGTATTTTCTGTGAATAATAAAAAATGATATATATTTTCTAAAAATTCGTAAGTAATCCATTTTTAAATCATAAAAATATGAAACTAGTACCAATATCTTTCTAAAAATGTAGTCTATCTTCTGGTGATACATTTGGAGTTATTGGTATTTTATTTGTTCCTATTTCTAGTGTTTTATTGCTCGTAATCATGTTCATTACTTATTTACCATCATTTTCCACTATGTAATACCTGAAATTCACCAACAGAATTCATAGCAGACCAAAAGTAAACAAAAGATTTGTAAGATAACACCAACCTTGCAGGTGCCATGCTCCACCACATATAGATCATATTTAGCCGTCACAACAACTATGGCATTGTTTTAGCCCTCCTAAAATAATTTTAACAATTTAAATATCTGTTACTCTATTTTGAGTATGGATTCTCTTGGTTGACCTCTAGGTTCAATATACCACAAAATGGCAAGTTAAACAAATAACACGCGTGACTATTGTTAGGATAATCATGACTTGGTTGTCGAGTTCTTGCATTTGGGTCATGTACATGTGTGTCATGTACTGAGTGTGCACGTACTCAAAACGAGATGTATTCTCGTTGGAGGATTGAGTCAATTTGCATGTAGGTTAGGCTAGTTAGCAAGTTAGAATGTGCGTGTGTTGCACATGATACTGAGTCCGTCTTCAGCAGGTTGTTAGCTAGCTTCTAGGAGTTGCATGTGTTGAGGTATACAGCATAGTAGTGTTAGCGGCTGCATGTTAGCTGGGCACGTTTGGAGGTGTGGCTTGGTCAAGTCAGAGGACCGTTTCATGCGGCGTACGTGCAGCATATGAGTTTGTGGCTCAGAAGCTGCGGATACGTGCGAGCGTGCGCATGAGACCCGGGCAGTAGTTGCTCCCGTATGTATGTGACCCGGGCAGTAGTTGCTCCCGTATGTATGTGGGCGGGCTATTTTAGCCGTGTATCCTGCTTGGTTCAGAGTGAGCCGAGTCGTGTGTTTGAATAATAGAAGCCATGATACAGGCGTTCGTCGCCGGCAAGTCTATGTCTATTGTTCATGTTCTCATGATCGTCCGTCGATCCTCGGTTCCAACAACTATGAGCAATAAAACACTAGGAACAACTGCAAATAAGACCTAGATAACTCCAAATCTAGTACTCATAGAGACATTATATATTTTTAGAGAAGTTTTGGTACTAGTTTCATATTTTTAAGATTTAAAGTGAATTAGTTATGAATTTTTAAAAACAAACCAGTTTTTATTATTATTATTATTTTTAAAAAAAATACAAAACCTCCTTTGAAACCAACTAAATGGCTAAATTTGTCTGTAGTTCGATGGTCAAAGGTTTCTGGCTTCATGGCCAAAAACCAACTCGGGCAATAGTTGAATGGCCAAAAATAGACTTCTCCCTTCATTTAATGACGATACTGTTGATCTATGTTGCATCATGAAGAATATCTGAGAACACATGGGGATGCCTGTGTAACACCAAACAACAATTCATAACGTAAATAGTGCATAATCTGTGAAATGATTTTAATGCTAAGGAATAGGTTGAGGCAATAGAACATTGTCTATCTGTCCATAGTTTTTTGCCTACTAGCACTTGATGAAAATAGTGTGGAAACAGAAGTATTCCCTTCAATATGTATGCAACAATGAGTACAATATTTGATTGATCATGTAATGTCATGTACAGAAATAAATTTGTGCTATCTTGGTTCTTTCTTATTCGTTAGAGGAGGGTTGATTTTCATTCTCTACCTTGTTTTCTCACTGAATATTTCTCCCTTTCCTTTTAGGATAACACAAGCTGCACACGTCGACATGAGCTTGTTAGCACCCTTCTGTCTTCGTACCATAATGGTACCTGGTAAAGGCCCTTTGCCTGTTGCATTCTTGGGAATTATGGCCTCAGTTTCATGAAAATTCATCTCTGGAACATACAGTGCATCACTACCAAAGCGAATCCTAAAATGGACTGGAACCTGTATAAGAATTTCTAAGATGGCAGATGAACTTCTGTGGCGTATCCAGGTGAATGCATACTACTTTTAACCATATAAAGCTTAAATATTGCTTAGACTGTTTATTCTGGTAACAGTATTATTTCATCCAACAGCAATATTTGTCATCCACGATAACCAAGTACAATCATGCAGAGGCTCTTTTTTCTAAATGGTGATCAAGATCTTTCTTCATTTCTATTAGTGGAATTTGGTGTAGTGAAGTTTCCAGACTATGTTTGCAGCATTTCTCATCGCATTTTTCAAGAAAGAAGTGATCTACTTGACTATGAAGACGTAAGATTTTTTGACCCCCCCTTTAGAAAAACAACAGTGAGCCACTCATCAATCGTGTTTTTTAATATCTTACATTGCAAACAGGCTATTCGAGTTGCTCAGGTGATGGATGAATCCCTTGATAATAATAACATGGACTTGGTGACAAGATGCATCGATTTATCTGAGAATCGATTATGCACTATGCCAAAACAAGAAAATGCAACTACACCTGAATGTCGCCCATCATTCTTTTCTCGCTTTTCAGCTTCCTGGGTCTATTCGAAAATACTCACATTAGGTGTCTCCGTTTATGAAAGAGACCGCAGGTAAGTTGCAATAACTGCTATAATTATGGACCTGCTCAAACACTCTCATTAGATGCATGGTTTTTGTGATTCATAGAATTTTGGTTGAAGTGGAAACCTTACCCACACTAGAATTGTTTTCTCGTTTTGGGATGTGTTCACATGCCTTCTGGCTCATGGTACATATTGGGACGCTTTAATCATGATAGGTGATAGATGCTTGAGCATGTGACACAATGGCAAGTTGTTGCACATACAGTTTTACACGCCCTTCTGTTATAGGGCTCATTAAATTCTTTTCTGAAACCATCTTAGAAATCTTGTTAGTTTCTGGGTATCCGAATTTCATGCCAATCAAAATTATAGGTATGAAGATGCAATAAGGATTCTAAAGATACTACTTAGTAAAGTTGCTTGTGATAGACGGCGAGGATATTGGGCACTGAGGCTATCCATTGATTTGGAGCATGTGGGTCGTGCAAATGAGAGCCTTTCCACAGCTGAAGGAGGAGCAATTGATCCATGGGTCCGTGCTGGTTCAAAGTTTGCGCTTCAAAGGAGAGTGCTGCGTTTAAGCAAACCTCCACGACGCTGGAAAGTTCCCAGTTATACTGATTATGTTAAGAGAAGTATAAGAGAGGTATATATCATCCTCACTGTCCTCATTGATGGCAAAAGTTCACATTTTTGGTCTGTTACATTTTCATGCTAAATAATCTATGCTTGTTATTCTTCTATTATTAATAGGTAAGCATTGAAGGAAGGCCATTGAATTGCGAGACAGGAGCAAAGAATGTATTCTATGGTTATGATGGGGAACTTTGTGGGGTAGAGCAGTTGGCTTTACAATATTATGCTGATGAAGGTGGTGGTTGGCAAGGTACCCATTCGGAAGGTGGCATTTGGATGACTATCTTTGGCCTTCTAATGTGGGACGTAATGTTTTCAGACATACAAGACGTTTTCCAGTCTAAATTCCAGGTATGTGACCTATGAACCATGTTTTTATTTTGTTTGAGGCGCATAACCATATTCCCTGCAAAGTCATCAGGAGCCCACCTTGTAGCGTAATTCCTTGTTAGATTAGATCCCTGTTGATTTTGTATGATATATAGTTGTTGGACCTTATCCAGATCTTTTTCTTGGTTTCCTACTGTACTTCACAACACGTCTTCTTTGTTCTTTTGCAGACAGCCCCCCTTGATCTGGAAACAGATGACTTCTACAAATCTAGAAAGGACCTTGCAGAATCTCAGTTGAAGAAGATACAAGATGGAATGGCTGAAGAGATGCTCATCAGCTCCTGGGAGCTACATCAGGGGACATCCTGCCAAGGTGTTAACTGGGTCCGTTATTCGTTAACTGATCTACGGGCTGTCGTTGCATGCATTGGTGGCCATCGCTTGGCATCACTTCTCCGCCATCTAGCGGTTGATTACAGGAGCTGGTCGAGTGGAATGCCTGATCTGCTGCTATGGCGTTTCCTTGATGAAAGAGGTGGAGGTGAGGCTAAACTTGTGGAGGTCAAAGGACCAAGGGACCAGCTGTCAGAGCAACAGCGTGCATGGATTCTTGTTCTCATGGATTTTGGATTCGATGTGGAAGTTTGCAAAGTAAGCCCGGTTACCAAGCGGAGATAGTTCTCTACTTCTCTTGTTAAACTTAGTTTGATTGATTATTACGATGCAAAATGTATTTGATTGATTAGATAGAAAGGGCAAATCTGTAACGCATAAACAATGACATTGTTGTCGTGTTGTACTGAAGTAACAAGCAAAGCTCTACTTGACGTGCGATAACTTATGAAGGATACATTTAGTTGTCTGAATCGACACAGTTAGAACTCAAAAACAAAAGTTCAAGAAATATTCTACCACTGTCTCGAGCCTGTTACTCGGCAAACCTTAATATAAGTTCCGAAACCACATTTCAGCATCTAAAATTTTGTTCATAAAGGCCCTAAAAACGTATTTTCTTGTCTGCAGATGTTAGGAGACAAAATAAGCCCCACACTGCCCATGTCACATTCTATTCTTCAACAGCACAAGATATGCACTGTCCCATTGACATGGTTATAAGGGCCACATGTAAATGAGACAATTGGTGGGAAATTCTAACTTTTCCCACAAATAAACATTCCTGGCTTCAAAGATAAACTCTTTAGTCTCATACGTAACCAGGAAAACCAAACAATGTAAATGAAGTTTAGTGCACAGCACACTAAATAATACATCATCTCGTGCACTCTTTCAGCAGGAAAGAGAAATTACTCCTACAAGCTAACTTAATAACATATATGTTAATAGAGAAGTACTACAACATTTTCAGGGCAGTCAAGTAAGGTTGCACAAACTGTAGAACTTCCTTTAAGTTCCATGCACATCATTAACACCGTACAAAATCAAGAATTTTACTTCCTTGAGTAAAAGGAGATGGCATAAGGTCAACAAGAATCGAGGATAAACAGTACTTGCACAAAAAAGAGTATTTCAACAAAAGAAATCAATGAAAGATGTAGAAATTTCAGAAATATCAAACATTGGACACATTAAATTTCATGCCATCTAAGCTAGAGATTCTGTTACCGTTCGACTTCTAAGTAGAACGATAAACAGCTCTCCATGAGATTGATATCTAAAGTGATACAAGCATGCAAGTTAAATTTCACAAAACTGAAAATGGCTACAAACTGTAAAAACTTCTGCACATACACAGAGAGTAACTCAGGGCAAGCTACAACCATGGAACCTAAGGCAGCCTGACCGTTAAAAACTTGTTTGTGCCATGCTTAACCCAAAAGGTCCTCAAACTTCAAAAGACCGAAATCATATGTTCAAATGAGAACATGATCCTCTTTTGAGGGTTTCTTCCCCTTGTACTCTCGTTTCTTCTTAATGAAATAATACACAGCTCTCCTGCGTGTTTGAGGAAAAAGCGAGGGAACATGATCCAATCACCACATCTGCATAAACTATTAAAGTTTATCCTAGCTAGTAACATAATCACAGCAATGTTCTATCCAATACAGATCTTAAAACGCACACGAATCCCATAACCTCTGAACTAAAAGAGAGGATGTATTATACCAACTTACCTATCAAAGAAAACTAGAACTACAGTACTTCAATGAGATTATGCAAACAACTTAATTCCTGTTGCATTTCCCTGCAGGGAATAACAATTAAAAAACCAACTAATCTGATGATTACTTAGTTTTGTTACATCCAGATATCAATTCAACAAACCAGGAACCAAATCATAAATATTTCGACTAAAACAGAGCCTCTTCATTAAGCATATACAAATAATAACAACCTGCACAGAACTGAACTAATTTCAATATTTTCAAATATTGCATTATAAGCTCGGATCCATGTTTCATTCTGTCTGAACTCTGCTTCACCAGTCAAATTGTTCATTCAAGCTTCATAACCAGATTTCACCACCTGAACTCTTGTTGCAAAATGTTTTGGAAAAGACACTTATCTCAATGCCAATAGCAATAATAGATGACTTCTCAATCATTTTTGACAACCACAACACTAAGACATGGTCCTAGCCTCCTAGGCTCAAGGATAGCCTCTTTATTTTAACATATGGATTATGGAACCATAGCAACCAAATACCATAAAGAAAGTTAAGCACAACCTCCACACACCCTTTCTGAAGAAATACTACTTCCTCAGATCGCTGATATAATTACATCCGGTCTTGTCCATAGTCAAACTTGTTCAACTTTGACTAGCAATATTTACAGAAATATATCTCAAATGTAAAGAGTTATATATTATGAAAGTATATTTGTTATTGTGAAACTAGTAGTGTGAACCTCATGTTGTCAATCTATATAAAATGCTAGATATTAGTGGTCAAAGTTAAAAAAAACAGATGGACATATATTTACGATGGGAGGAAGTACATGCCAACCAGCACTTGACAAGAAAATACAACATGAACTAAAAGCAAAGTTCTATAAACATTTCACGGTGAGCAAGAAGCCAAGAGATAATAATATTTGCTTTTGCACAGACCATTGGAGGCATGAAGATGCAGTCAAGGATTAGTTTCTTGAATCTGTTCTTGAGTATGAATTGTAAGGCATCAAATACATAATATGAGTACTTCATAAACACAACTTAAAAGATGTCGTACAATAAGTTAACAGTTAACTAGCTTCTCACAAGTTATACCGGTAAGAACAGTGTGATCGGGGGTCTCCCCATGCCAGTTTGCATTCAAATCCTAGTACAACTTCTTATTGCAATGCCCAGGGAGCGTCTCCCCCCAGTGGTCAAGTTTCTTTTAATAAGTTAACAGTTATCTCCATGAAAAGGTGCTGGTAAATGTCTTCCACCAGACAAAGTCACAAAACCTTCACATAACGCCATTACTTCCACACAGATCTAATTAATTGCAATGATTTTCATGCCACCTAAATTAGAGACTATTATGGTTACACTAAATTTTGCAAAGTGGAGGATACAAACATACTTCAATTGGGTCAACATCTGAAGCTTGAAATAGGCATGAAAATAAAGTCATTGGAACTGAACATGGCTACAAACTACTCCTACAGGTTCTGTAGATTGGCACATAGACATACAAGCAATAAATCAGGCCTAACTGCAGCTCTACAAGCAGTGGCGGAGATCCAGGATCACTGATTTGGGGTGGAGGGGGGGTGCCACTTCTCTTTCTCCTCATCTTCCTCCATTTTTTCTCCTCTTCTTCATCCATGCATAAAATTGTTGGGGGGCTCCATTTTCCGAGCAGGGGCAGGGGGGCTCAAGCTCCCCCAGCACTCACGCTGGATCCGCCCCTGCTACAACCTACAAAGCGATAAACATAGCATTCCTTTTTCTTTACCTGATCGTTACAAACTTATTTGTGCCGTGCTTAGCCCAAAATGTCTTCAAGTCAATTGGATTAGCAAGGTTGTACCCTTCACCAGCCAGCTTCTCAAGCACCTTTTTGAATGCACCTTGGCTCATCTTCCTTCCAGAAATACGTGCGCCCCGGCGCTTTGTGCTCATTGGCAGTGGATACGTCGATATAGAAGTTGTGCAGCATGCAGACTGCCAGCCACCTGGACCCCATCGGTAGCATTGCTGGGGTGCTCCGGTGCACGAGCACACTGGTGTTGGTATGGTGGCAAGGTCCAGCTCGATACCATTAATCACCATCCCCACAGTCTTCTTAGGTCCCCTCCTTCGGGGCGCATGCCCATTGAGCGACCCATCCTCCAGTGGAACAGCAATCTTCTTAGGCTTCTTAGGCTTTGGTGACTTAGGCTGCCGATTCTGCTGCCGGCCTCGCTGCTTCTTTTTCACAGGTGGCCCGGTACTAACAACTGAGTGATCCTCAATCAATGGAGGTGGTGCTTCCTCTTCCTTGCATGGAGGAGGCTCCAGGAGCTGTGTCTCAAGCTGTGGTTGCATCATCTGGAGAGTATGTTGTGCATCTGATATCATCCCATAACCAGTAGGATGGTGATGCATAATATGTCCGACATGCGCAGGATGGCCACCATGGCCTGGATGCCCAGCATGCCCAGCTGGTCTGATAGGACGAGAATGAAGGACCTTCTGCTCACTGGGACGTTGGTGGTGTGACTGGTGCAACCAAGCTTCATTGCGTGAGAAGTCCATGTGAATAGGTTGCGACTCGGTGGGCATGCCACCAGAGGCTCCACCACCAGCAGGGCCACGGGGATGTTGCGAGTGCTGCATGTGGAGCTGGTGCGGGGCATTGTGGTGTCCATGGTGCTGCAAGAAGGCACCGTTCGGGAGCAGTGACTTTGTGTCCCGGTCAGGTGGCACGGACGACATGAGCTGCAGGCCGAGGTTGCCTTTCACAGTGTCGTAGAAGCCCCAATTCCGAATGCCTAGGCTGCCGTCTTCGTCGTCCATATCTGATTTGTGGAAAAAGCAAATCCACCTCCGAAGACCGCAATAAGGAGAAGAAAACCGAACCTTATCGTGGTTCTGATCAGACCATCTGTGAAATCGGCCCTCCAATCGGCAATCCCTACACACCCATTTTGGCAATCAGATCAGAAGAAGCAGGTCTATAAAAATACAAAATTGCAGGAACTCTAGATACAAAATCGAAGCCAGTGGTAGGACTAGTTGTAATGGTTAGGTCAGATCCGGATATAAATTGCTTCAGTTAGGGTTTGGGGATGCTCGGTTCAGCACAGCAGGAAGGGATGGGCAAGGGAAGGGGCGGTCCTACCTGGTGGATGTTCGTCGGCGGCGAAGGACCCCGACGAACAAGGTCGGCCCCCGCTCGCTCAGTCGTCGACGAAGGGGGGCTGGGGGCGGTCAGAGCACGGAATGCGAACGGATCCTCTGCTACGCCGCCGTGCCGTCTTTGGACCTCCTATCCGCCGCCCGGGCACCGCCGAATGCGATTTTTTTTTAATTTTAACACTTTTTTAAACTAATTTTAAATCTAACATTGTTTGTTTTTTATTTTCAAATCTAACATTTTTTGCCGCGCCTATTGCCATGGCGCGGGGTGAAACATCTATGCCGCGCCATGCATGGGGCGCGGCGGGAGGATGACGTGGCGAAACCGAGGGTGCTGACCGATGACGTAGCAAGTTCTGCCGCGCCATCGATCTTAGCGTGTCACTGAT